GTCCATTTTTATCGAAGGATCATTTTATTTCATTACAAGAAAGTCCAAAAAGCGCATTTTAACCTCTTTATTCACGTGACAAGGGCTGATTTAACATACTTTTGCCTGTAAATAAAGAGTGCCAAAAGGTAACCTCGTAATTTTCTTACAGTAAATAGGTGATATGCGGTCGATAGGAGACTTGGTCTCCTAGCTCACACTTTTACAAAGCGCAGTCACTGGGAGACTCTTTTCTCCCAGCTGAATTCTTACGAAAAATGCTGTAAATAGGAGACTCTAGAATAAAGACGTGCTAAGGGCCGGGTACTGAGAAATGGGTCAATTGTTGCTAGAATTTGCTTAGAATTAGTCTAGAATAGGGTCGGCTAAAAATATTTTTTGATCTCCGATTTTTTGAAACCAGTTTCAGTGGATTCGCGGTGCTCAAAAACCTTAATAAACCAAAAATTGCTGAGATTCGATGTTCGGGTCTCATTCAAGGGCATGTTTCCAAAAATTGAGACTTGAATTTGACATAGTTGCTTAAAAATTAAATTCGCTATATATTCAAGGCGAATGATATATTTGATGACAAAATATCAATTATAATTCTTATAATCAAATTATACAGGCAATGAACAGAAAAGAGATTAAAAACTCATGTACTATTTTTATGGAAGGGTGTTTTGTGACAATTCCCCTTTTATATGGATAACACAGGTATTTATTCATTTATAAATAAATTAAAAGAGATGTTTAAATTCCAAATTTTTGCTCGTATGTATGGGTATCGTCACTGATATTCATGAGAGTCTGATATCAAAGGATCTGTTGGTCTCTATATGTATCATAAAGAGGTCTTGAATGACCTTCAGCAATATATATGTACTTTCTAGTCGTTCAAATGTCACAAAATGTCTTTTTGAATTATGCTGAAGTCATCGGAAGTCCTGCTACTGGAACCTTACCAATACCTTTGATCTGTAAGGTAATGTCTGTATAAGAAACCGTCAATGACCTCCGAGATCAGGGGTCTGGATTTTGGCCAAAAATGAAAAGCGAAAGCGAAAATTTTTCAAAAATTTAAGGCGAAAGCGAAGCGAAGCGAATTAAAATTTCGAAAGCGAAAGCGAAGCGAAGCGAAAAATTTTTCAAAAAGCGAAAAAAGCGAAAATTTTCCGAAAAAATGTAACTTTGAAAAAGTGTCCATTTTAAGTTCGGTTTTAATTTTATTTATTTTTCGGGCATTCGTACAATATAATTTTGTCAGTATTGGCTACTTTGAAAACATTAAAATGATCTCAGTAAAGCTCTAAAAAGTGGAAGCTTATGTCAATAAGCAAAATTTCCACTTAAGCTTTCGCTAAATCTAATAAAAATAACAAAATATTCAACTCTTAGAACGATTTCTTTTGAGCGAAATTTCGCTTAAATTTTTGCTAAAAAGCGAAAGCGAAGCGAAGCGAATTGAAATTCCAAAAAGCGAAAGCGAAGCGAAGCGAATTCGCTTCGCTCTGCTTCGCTTCGCTCATGAGCGAAGTCGCTAAGCGAATCCAGACCCCTGCCGAGATAACATAGAGTCATTTACAGGGTTTAATTTTTTTCACCGTTCACCCCCTAACTAAATCTCTTTTAGAATGACCTTTAAAGTATCAGAAGCATAGTTGGAAAAACGTGCGCGTGCGTGCGTGTTTTGCGCACGCGCACGCACGCGCATCCGGGGATAAAAAAAGCGCATGTGCGCGCACGCGTTCGAATTGGAAAAATAGGGTTTTTTCTTCGGAATTTTGAGTTTTTGGCCTTCCTCAAAAATTTTATCAAATATCTGAAAAAAGAAAAATAATTTTTTGTTGTTTTCAAAGAGCCCTTGACTTGTTTTTATAGAAACAAAGTCAATATTGAATAGTGTTTATACGAAAATATATTGAAATTAGCTCAATTCTAGCTGAAAAGACTAAAGAATTATGACGCAAACAGGTTCGCACATGCGCGCACGTGCGCGAACGCACCCGCACGCGGGTTCTGAAAATCTCTGCGCACGTGCACGCACGCGCACTGGGATTTTGAAAAATTCGCGCACGCACCCGCACGCGGTTTTCGGGTGTTTTTCCAACTATGATCAGAAGTCCTCAAACTGATACCTATCATCTGTTAGTCAGTGTCTGTATTAGAAAGGCTTAGTTAATGATTTCCAAAATTGCATACAGTCATAGACACGGTTCAAGATTCACAAAATTTCTTTTTGAATAATCCTCAAAGTATCAGACGTCCTCTTATGCACTCTTCGCCCGCATTTTTTCTATTGTTTATTTCTAGACTTGCTCAAAGTGATTGCGTGAGTAGTGCATCCTTTACCAATTCGGATTCGTTTTTAAGAACTGTAGCTATTCTTCTCTGACCTGCAAATCATTATTTCTTGAACTACATACTCCATTGTCTTAGCCGGGATTTTTCTTGCATCCAGCCTTAAAGAAAAACCATCCAAAGACGTCAAATTCAAAGACGTCAAAAGATTCTGACGATCGCCTTTTCTCACTTCGAACAAGTCAATGAAAATCTTCTGATATGCAACAATAGCTCAACTTTCGCCTCATCTGCTGAAATTCTGTTCTCGTCAATCTTATAGGCTATAAAAAGATTTTATCTAAGACTTTATTAAGCTTCTGCTCGGTTGTGAGACACATGAAATCATCCACATATAACAGTAGCACATAAATTATGTGACATAATCTTCTTGATCTTCCATCAAATCAGCCATCATCAAATGAATAAAATACAGTTTTTTTCCATCTTAAGAAGCCTTTCGAGATTACAAGGGCTAAGAAAAAGTCCTCTTAAATTAGAAATTTTCGAGTCCAGTCAGGTATAGTTTTTAATGGGATATGTGGCCATCAAATTTGTGGACATTTTCCTGCTGGTCAATTTTTTTCAATTTACAATATATTCTGACCAAAAAGCTCACTTTTTCTTGATAAAGAAAGATCGGATTGAAGGCTGAAAGAAGGGCACAGAAACATTCTTTTGGTCTTGAGTTGACGGAGTAAGAAGAGGACGATCAAAAACGCTCAGAAAACGCAAAGGAAGAGAAAAAGTCAAGAAATAAAACTTCTCGAAAAAGAAGAAAAATTATTATGTGGACATTTCTGAGAAAGTCGGGGGACAAAATATGACCACAAATTCCAAAAATGAAAAGCGAAAGCGAAAATTTTTCAAAAATTTAAACAAAAGCGAAGCGAATCAAAATTTCTCAACTTCAACTTTATCCCTTTTAGCTCTCGACTAACAACTGTACATCATCGACGCCGTCAAAACCTCCCCTGATGTCCAGCTCTCCTTGCAAAAAAAAAAAACGAAACTTTTTACCCCTGTGCATTTTTCTATTTTCAAAAACATATCTACTGTTTTTCTTACTATTGTGTATCCCTTTAGTTACCAAAAGGTGTGCTTCTTCTCATTCTCCTGTGATTTATACATCAAAATTTACCAACCCAAATTGGGGGAAGGGTGAAGTGTTCTAGTTTAGCTACAGTCCCTAGGCCGTCAATCATAGAGCCTATATAAAGCCTGATCAAAGCCCCCTTTAGCCCATGTTAGTTGCTCCCCGCTGACTCTCACTCTTTTCGTCAGCAGTACACTTGAGTGATTTTGCATTTTTGCAAACTTTGCAGCCTCATAATTTCTCAACCCTTTTATAAATATTTTTGAAAAAAGGGTCCAAACGCTTGTTTATAACAGTTGTTTAACATATCTACCGCGATTATCATTCCTGAATGACGGACTCTCATCCGTCATTCAGTCGTTTGGACATTTTACAATGCAAAATTTGTCCGAACGAGCGAAAAGTGCGTGGGCGGCCCTGATTCTCCGGTCACTCAGAAATGATAATCAATTTTGAGAATCATACGAGCATTATTAAGGTAAAACGGCTCAATCAGGGGTTCGCTGATCAAAATGTAACTTTGAAAAAGTGTCCATTTTAAGTTCGGTTTTAATTTTATTTATTTTTCGGGCATTCGTACAATACCGTTGCGCTCTCACTTTTGCGGCGGTGAAAAATCTCGATCTGAAGCCCCATCAGATCGAGATTTAGCGCGAGGCGTGTATTTTCTGAGACGTACAACACCTACCACACTCCCCGCAGATCAGAGCTTTGCCGAGCGCGCACCAATCAGAGCGCGGCGTGAAATAAGCGCCCTCACTCGGAAATAAAATGAAGAATAAGGTTAATTAAAATAAACGGGTTTTTTGACGGGATTAATGAATTGAAAACTTATTTTTTCTTAATAAGGCGCTTATTTTATAATAATCTTTCAATTATATAATATCATCATAATAATATAGTTACATATAATATAGTTTAAATAAATTGATCGATTATTAAACTAAATTTTATTGGCTTTTCCACACTCAATCCCGGCTTCAACCACTTCAATATTTGCTTCAACAACTTCGATCCTAGCTTTACAGAAGTCAATCCTGGTCGTTCCAGCGTCAATCCCGGCTTCTTAAGATCCGATCCGGGCGTCACTTTCTTCAATTCTAGCTTCTCAGATGCCAGTCCCGGCTTTTCAGTTTTCTATTATTGCTTCTTGAATAATAACGTAATTTACCCCTGCGAAACCTGCTATATCAACACACTCGTGACCAAAACTGGCGTTACGAAACTGGTTTATTCTGTACAGCAGTTAACCAACTTCTCAGATAAAACGCGTGCGACCACAGTGACGACTCAGGCAATCACAGCGGCGGCTTGGACGACGTTGGAGAAGCTGGAGGAAGCTGCGGTCCCAAAACAGGATAAACCTAAAGACCTGTTAGCCTGAGCAATCTCTTACTTGCCCTTAACAGGACTTCCGTTTCTCTACCTCGAGTTTGGTACGCTCAGCGCGAATAACGCGAAAGCACTGAGTCGTACTCAACACGAGGTCCGCGTAGGTGTACTCTTCCTCGGGGCGAACCTTTTGGTAGCTCCGATATACACCAACCATTACGTCCCCCACATTTTATCGAAGTGTATACCTTTAGCGGCGCGGTCCTCCTCGGCCGCGTTTTCCGTATCCAGGTCGCGATGGGGCCGGTCGTTTGTACGCGTTCGGCGGGCGGAATCCTCCGCTTGTTTCGCCAAGGTCTCGGCCCTCCGTGATTACTCGCCAATTGTAGCACCAATTCGGTCTGCGAACGCGTTCCACCAGGTAGTTGTTTGTTTCCTGGTTCCATCTAACTCCCAACGCCCTCAGTTCGCCGTTATTTTGCACCGTTATTATCGGTGCCTCGCCTTGGTGGTCCAGCGCGAACACGTTGGTCAGTTTGGCCTTGTCCGACCAATTCTTCAGGTACGTAATGGTCTCTTCGACAGACCAGGATTTCATCCCTTCAATTTGACCCAGAAAGTTCAGAGCCCCTTCGCGCATTTTCACCGCTTCATGGTTGACTCGGGTCACCCATTCCGCGATTTCATCCTCATCCGTCGTTCCAGTTGGCGGGGGTTCGATCTTAAAATCCTGTCACGCGTGAATTACTGTTTCGGGGAGCCGGTCGATTGATTTTTATCATCTGACGCGGCCGGCTGATAGTGGCAACTGTTCACTTACCCATGACGGCGCGATGGCTCCCAAGAGCTGTCTTCCGCAGTATAAAGCTTGGTCCACAATGTCATCAGGACTAACTTCAGCCATTGTTTGAGAGATCAGCTTTTTTAAACCAGCCGTCCCTCCTTCAACGCGAGCTAGACGCATCTTGAAGCCACTGTTTCGGGGGCTGAACGGATCAGTTTCCACATAGAGGTGAGAGCAATACATGTTTACGCGGTTCGGCGCTTCTAGCCACGCGGTCAGGATGTCTCTTAATTTTGGTTTATTATTTTTCTAAATTATTTTTAGTTTTACCTAGACGCGCGCAATGTCAGCAGTCGAAATCCAACGGAGGACTGCTTATTCCATCTCTGAAATCCTCAAGTAAGTTATTTTTCTTCCTTGATTTTTACCTCTTCCTCGAGGAATAACGCGCTTTCTTCCGCGGATGCCACGTTTTTTACGGTCGCTTCCAAACTTGACAAGAACGCGGCAACTTCTCTATCAGTTTCGTTGATTTTAAATTCCTTGACGTTTTTTAACGCGTCAATGAATTTATTTAGCCGGACACCGATTCGCAGCGTTATTACCGCTTCACGGCTTGCATCTTCTATGTCAGCTTGAATGGCGGCCCGCGATTGGCTGGCTGACATCAACCGCGTTTCGTTCCCGAACATGTTTCGCGGCTGATTTTGATTTTTGTGCGCGTTAATGTCGAGAAAGCTCCCCGGCCTGACCATATCCATGCGGGGTGAATCGCCCCCTGCCATTCTAGAGAAAAAAATTTTTTTTTTTTTGACAATTTCGTTTAAGTTCTATTCCAAATTTTCCAGATTTTTTAAAGTGACCAGTTCTTCTATTCGCGGTTCATTGTTCTGTTCCTTCTTCAGCTTCTAAAATTATGTTTTTAGAAATTTCGACACGTACGCCGATGCTACTATTGGCCGGAATGACGCGGTCCGCCAGTTGATTGCTCAGTCGAAAGCTACTCGAAATGGGCAACCGCGGGCTTATTCTAGTGCTCTTTCCAAGTTCGAATTTGACCATGGAGGGCGAGGCGCCAGAATTGTTTTCCGACGTGCCGGCATTCATGACCAAATTGTCGGCCGAAAAGCCCTCGATGAGATTTTGCTTGCCCGCGTTTCAGACGAACAAATTCAGCGCGGGAGCCTTCGGCTCCGTCTTCGATTCCGCGTCGGGGCCAACGATGTCATTGTCCCCGTTGATTTCCGATTGCCCAACAAAGGATCAAACAAACAAGATGTTCACGGCCTTGTTTTTGCCATGGACTCCGCGATGTATCAAGTTCGCGATCCTAAAGTCACCAACGACGCGAAAGTCAAATTTCGCCGCGCCTTCTTGGAGAGGGTTGCTCGCTGGGCGACCTTGACCGTGGTGGCTCTCACCAAATATTGGGTTCACGCTGGTCCCTGCTCTTTCGAATTAGCCGGAGTGCCCCGAGAGACCGCCGAGGCTCACCCAGATGAATCTACCGCCTATTCCTTTCGCGGGCGAAATCCCTGGCTTGTTTTCCTGATCTGGTGCCAGTACATGCATGGGGTGAGTTTCGAATTTATGGATTAAATAAGCATCCTTTTATAACTTAAAGCATCATTTTAATATTTGCTTTTTAGCGCGTCGTTTCTTGCAATCGAAATCCTGACTGGCCTATGAACCGCGTCCCCATTCAACTACTTTTCGACCGAGATCAACTGAATATCCCTGGGTCGCCCCAGGCGATAATTCTTACCGCGATTAAAGCCGTTCTTGGTGACCAAATCTTTGCCGGTGATGGGCTCCAGCGACGCGACCACGGGGAGTTTACGCGATTCCATCATGACAACTCTTATAGTGAGTTCCATTTTACAACCTGAATTATTATTTTAACTTATTATTTCAGAGCTCCTCTCACTTAATCTACGTAATCGCGCTCAACTCTTTCCTATCCCCTCCATCTTGTTTCTCAAGATGCTGGCTTGCTACTTCTACAACAACAACGTATCCCATTCATTTATTGGCGAGATAACTTACTTTTTTCACCCGCGAGGCCGATTTCTTGCGCGTCTTTCGGCGTTGATTTCGACTTCTTGTCCACTTTTCGCGGCTCAACTTCTGTTTTTAGGACGAGCAGTATACTTACTACGTCGCCGGGGCCTTTTACCTTATTGGCGTTTACGGTAGCCCTGAATTCGCGCTCTACCATGGCATTTGGAGGCTCCTGCTCCAGTTCATCCATGACGCAGGCATCTACAAGCCGCTTGTCACTCGCGTTCGTCGCGGAAACGAGGAAGTGAAGTACTTTCCCCGCGATACTTTTTCAAAAGCCGGTATGAACTTTGAGTTTGTAACCATTTTCTAAATTACACCTCTAGGCCCGGCTCGTCTCTTCCCTCTTGGCACGATCGAGCCTTTCTTGGGCACGCGTCATCTCTCCTCCCTGTTAGCCCCTGGGGCCTCCATGGATCGATGTCCCTTTTACTCGCTCGATCAGGATGTACCGCCACTGGAGCGTCGAGCGCAACACGGTCTACGATGGCCTGGCAACCGCGATATTGAGCGACAACAGCAACGCTACCGCGCTATCCCAAGCTTGCTTGGTGGTTTTGGCCGATACCGTGCTATTGCTTAAGTCCGCAGCTCGTCCTTTCCTGTCTTAGCGCCGAAGTGTTTCTTTGCCCATTCCGCTGCTCTTAACTGTCCCCACGGTATTCGCGATCGTTTCGTTGGACGCGCGAAAGTGTACTCGCCGTCTTCATCTTTTAAAACGATATTATTTACTGTTCACTGTCGACAGTATCTTATAAATTTGCTATTTTCCTTGTAATCAAGAAATAAAAGTGAGGGACTATTACCGTTTCGGCTTCTCTTGCGAACGCGTTCCTTTTCATTTCCGCGGTTCTTCGGGCTTGGTTCTTCCTTTTTTCGCGTATTGCGGCGGTCAGTGTTCATTAGACAGCGGAAACGAGTCTGAATAGCGATAATTTTAATAAATTTTTGGTAATTCGCCGCTTTTGGCGGGGCTTAAAATAAATCTTGAACTCGGCAGACTGTAACGATCGCGGAGGCTCAACTTTAGGTGACTCGCCGCATTTCTGGCGCTGATTACTTTTCGTAGATGTTCATTTTTCCTAAATTGTTGTTTCTTTAGACGTCTGGCTGCCGTTTCATACCTTCAATCGCGTCAGTTCCCCGATTCTGGTTTCCCGCGTTACCTTCCTCGTTTTCGCGTCCGGTCAAATCCTGGTAAGAAATTTTTCTGGCCGGTTCAGTCAGTCCTCGCGTCCTGTAGATCATATGGCCATACTGAGAATGGCCAATCGCGAAAGTTGGCATCAGCGATCGCTGCAAGTAAAAGTTGTAGCCGCAGATTCCAACTCCCGATTGACGAGTGATCTCCAACAGGCGATTGTTCGTGACCGCGACCAGATCATGGTACGCGGCTCTGCTTTTTTCCTGGATCGCCAGAACTTTGAAACTCATTACTATCATTCTTACCGCGTCCACTTACCTTGGGTTAGATCGTCTACCCCTTTTCTGATTCTGGCGATGATGACCTCAGACGCTGAGGCGTGTCCCGCGTTCACGATCTTCGTATTCGTACTGTTGAAGGTCGCGTTACAGCCCGGACACGGTTCCCTTTCGGGACAGCATCCTCGACAAAAGAAGCTACCACACTCGTGGATTCGTGGCTTTCCCGCGAAATCGAGCTCGTGAGTGCACTTGAAGCATTTGCCCAAGACCGACGGCGGGAGGTTTTCCCAGATTTTAAGTTCGTTCAACGCGGTTAAACCGTTTTGCATTCTAAATGGGGGGAGGATGATCTTGTGGCCAAGTTTACGCGGTTAAATTGGTTGGAAATAGTTAGTTTTCAACTAGGCCTTCTTCGTTTACTCTATTTCTCTTCAAATAAACTTTCCCGTGACCGACCGTTCTGCGTGCTCATTTTCCGCGAATCACAGCCAATTTCTGTTTTTTATATTTGTTTTAGCTGCTCTCCTGCCTTCCAATTGGACTCGACAACTCACCGCTCTTTTCGAGCGGATCTAAACCGACTGAGAGACGCGATTAACAATCCCGCGATTATGCCAACTAACAAACGGACGGTGTCTGAGGCTGGACTTGATGCTACCACTTGTACTGTCGCCCAGTCTCCGACTCGAAAACATCCAGCAATTTCTCGCGTCGAATATGTGGATCTGTTGACCCAAGGTGAGCCTTGTGGTGCGCTTTTCATACTATTAAATTCATTTAAAGGGCCGAGAGTTAAAATTGAACCTCTCGACTACGAGGACTCTCTCGCGATGGAGTTCGATGTGCCCCGCAAGCTTCCGCGTCCGAAAATTGGGTCAGGCTCTTTGTATGATGCATCGCCTCATACATCTACTCCTGTCGAAACTGGGGCACCATACATTTCACGCTCAACCACCGGGAACGCTTCTGAGGAGATCGAATTCAAAACTCCTGACGCGACCGCTTTTGACGAAGCACCGAACCGTGTGTCCAAACGTACACGACGCGAAATCACCACCATAGTCGAGAACATGGAAAAGATTTTCCACCAGAGCCGCGAGTCTCGCGCCTCTGCTCAGGGCTTGTCTCGTCGCGTCTTGTATCGAAGTCCATCCCGGCCTTCAGAGTATGTGGAGTCCATTTGGCTGAAATGACCCTTCTTTAGGTATATTTACGCGACCATCCCTTCGGAGCTATTTCCTGAGTTTGAGGTAGATCTCCTTGAGCGATTTTCATCCAAGGAGTTGCACATTTCGCGCGAGTTGGTCCGGATCAGGGCCGATCTTTATTATTCGTCTGATCCGCTCAAACATCCTTTCCCGCACATTCGAAACTTACTCGTCCACATCGGTGATTTTTCAGTACCTTATTTTATAAACCGCCCCATTTTAGGCTACGCGCTTGATGTTTCAAAGACGCCGGTGAAAATGCATATCAATCTTACATTCCCGCCTTCTGTCGGACCTACTTCTGGCAGCCCATCTTTCAACTTTCGTAATAGTATTCGCGAGCTGCTTTCCGCGTACTTGGTGCAGCTGTCTGAATATTACCGCGGCGCCGCCTGTTTGCCAGCTCGCGTTGATGCGCATCGGCATCAGCTGGACTCTCTGGCGCAAAACGTTCTCGACTATTTATTCGCCGAGGACGTTGGGAAATCATTCAGAATCCCAGTTTCAATTCGAACTGATCTACTCACCACTTCCCATGATGAATAACTTTCTCCGCGAGAACTGCTCCCGAATACTACTTCTACTCCTATTCACCGTTTTCAACCTCACCTGCACTGCTATTTTCATCCAGTACGCGATCCACCAGTATGCTACCGAGCTCGACGCCATGCAGTTTGGTGAAATTTCCGACTTTGGGACCTGTAATTTAGCCCGCGTAGTCCCGCGAGTCCATTGGCCAGATCTGGCCATTGGTCTCGCGCCGGACTCGCGTCGGAAAAATTCAGGTTTCCCAAAGTAGGAAATTTCCCGTCTGAGGAGTTTTTGAATTTCCTGCGCTTATATACCCGTTCCCAACAACATTCTAGAGACTGGGTCACGTGATCTTTTCATCCTCAGGCGCTTGTTGTTGAGATTGGTTCTTCTTACTCCGGGGCCTAATTCTAGAAACTCCAATGTTTACTATCGACTGTTCTTATAGTAATAGACTAAAGTACAATAATGGAAATCGATTTGTTAGTATAGTCCATAATTGTATTTTTAATTTCGGATTGATTTATTAGCCTTGGAGAATATACATTGATATACAGATTCAGACTTGTTGGTATGGCATTTTTAGGAGTTAAATCTCATAATCGTCAGGTTTCTCTGTTTTGATGTCGGGTTCTTCCGCTGGATCCAGTGGAAGAGCCTCTCGTTTCCTTATCGAACCCGCTACAAGGATTTTAGAACTCACTAATTTTGTGCTAAGCAATACCTTTTAAACTGCAGAAGGCACAGGGGGAAGTGCTTGTCATCGGCATTTCGGCTGGTCCCGACAAGGTTGAGCTGTCACCGTCGCTAGAGAGGATCCTCTCCAGCGCTCCTGTCTTATCCCAAGTTCGGAGATCCTTTTCTGCTTCACTGTCGGTCGAGAGGTCGTAATGTCTGTCGAAACTGTCGCTGTCCGAGGAAGAGGACTGCCTTTTGAAGCTGACCTCACTGTCGCTGTCGCTGGAGTCGCTGGCCGAATCTTTGAAGATGGACACGACGATCGCCGTGTCCCTCTTCTGTGGCTGCTGTTTTGCGATGTTGCCCTCCATATCTCCGATTGCTTGGTGGAGACTTTTCCGAAGCGAGACCTTCCAGACTGCTCTGCCGGATTTGAATTCCGCTACGGCCCAACCTTTCTGGACCGGCATCACAAGAATCGCTTTGTGACCTTTCCCTCTTACGAAAGCTAGTGCAGTCCACGTGCTCTTGTCAATCTCATTCAGCGCGTGTTCCACTTTGCTCCAGGTAGAGTCTAACACAAGTCATTAACCTGTTTTGGTGACAATAGGACTTACTCTTGATCAGAAAGCTTTTCCCCTTTTTATCCTCTGAGTCAGGGAAGGAGCTGGTGATGGACTTCCACGTTTTGCTGAGATTCTCGATCGAGATTCCCAGCTGCTCGTGGAGGTCCTTTGCCCTGGAGATAATCCGTTCTCGACGACATTCCATTTCTTCCTGGCAAATATAGTCGTCCCAGATGAGGCCGTTTATCTTTCTCACTAGACTTTCCCAGGTGTTTATGTCGTCGGTTACTCGTACCACTGGTAGCTTCTCGATTGCCGACCACGAATTACGGAACGCTGTCAAGTCGGTGGTGAAATTGTCCGTGGTGTTCTCAAAATCTTTCCCCCAGTCGCCGATCTTTTTGGTGTCCTCTGCAGCTTCTTCGAGCCACTCCTTGATCGTTTTGGTGAAGTTTAACCCTTCATCGCCGGCGAACGCCAGCTTCAGGGCGTTGGAAACAGCAGCTAGGCTTAGTGGAGTTATTAGGCTCGTGACGAGCTTTGTCGCTTCCGAGTCCATCGTATCCTCTACCCTTTCCAAGCGCATTAGAACTTTTTGAGTCTCTGACTGTTTCTAAACTAGACTTAATATCGGTGGTCTGAGACTTTCCTAATGGGCTTGAGCCGCTTGCTGGATGCCACCCCAATCTATTATTATAGATGGGAAGGGTTATAAACCCTCTTCGCGAATTCTCTTCGTTCTGGCTCATGTCTGAACGAAAAACTGTTAGGGTTTTTATAATATCTTTTGGCAGAATAGCAGCCCAAATTTCTGGGCCGCTCTTCCGCCTCCCTAGACGCAGCTGAGCTGGGAATTGGCATGCAAACGGGCTTCTCGAGCTCTTTTCCTTTTCCTTCTTCTTTTGGAGGAATCACGACTGATTCCAGCTTAACGATCGTTAAGCTGGGACCCGCCTTCGGCTTCTCCTCCTTGTTTCCATCGAATCCCTTCTCTAGTTCTCGCCGTGGGTGATTTTTGCGTGAGCTCTCTCGTTTGTAGAGATGACTTTGAAGGCAGAGCCGTGTATCGTGTGTTCGAGCTGGTTATTCTTGTACTGGTTGAGCATGAACTCGTTCTTCCAGCGACACAGATTTATGATGTGCTGGTCGGGTACCCCATTCTTGAGACTCTCTACCACAAAGGAGACCCTCATAGAGTGCCCTGTTGGGCAAACTGCCCAACCCAGGCACTCCGAGACTGTGTGGTAGAAATAATTCATTTTTGTCGTATTCATTGTTGTCTTCCGCTTGCCGTGAGAGTAGGAGAATAGCTTGCCCTTGGTCCTGGAGGCGATCGCCTCGAGGATCCAGCTTTTAATGTCGATCTCAGAATTATCTGTTATCGGGAGCGTAATTACCTCTCGTCTCTCCTTTGTGGAATTGCTTTTCGAAGATCTGAGAGGCATTTGTAAGAAAACTGTGCCGCTATCTTCTTTCCAGCGGATGTCTTCGATAAACAGGTTTACTATTTCCCCAGTTCTCGCGCCAGTGCAGAAACAAATATAAGAAACTGCGGCCCCGACTTTCTTATTTATCTGACCTGAGTTATACGCCGTTTCCCAGAATGGAACCATTTCTGAGCGTGCAAAAGCCGGGGCCTGTGTTGGTTCGTAGAGATCTTCGTTCGATTGAGCCCTCGACCGACTTGATCCCCACTTCGCGATTATCTGTTTCTCGTCTTGAAGCAGGGCCCGGCCCTCGATCTTTTCCCAGAATCGCTCCATCGACGCGGCCATTGTCTTCCATAGCACTGGGCGAGACGGGTTGTATAGCGTGAAGGTATCCAGGAAGCCGGAGATCGATCGATCTTCGGCCCCTTTTCCTCTCCACGAGTCCCACGCGTGTTTTAGCCAATCTTCTCTGCTTTCCGACTTGTTCCAGTTTAGCGGATTATCCCTTGAGTTAATTTTCTTAACCATTCTAAAGGGAAAGGTGAAGTCATCGTATCAAAGATTATTGTTCGCAGAGCGAATTTGAATTATTGGCAGGTAAATGGAATGTATAAGTGTTCAATATTACTGGGTCTTGCCCATAGTTCAGTTGAGAGTTTTCCCGAAGATGTCTTCGAAGCTCAATCGCTTCTTTCCCCAATTTCCTAGATCTTGGAGGCCACGAGCCCATGCGAGCGTGATCTGTTCGATGTGGTCCAAGGAAACGGTCGAGGGACAATTCGATCGAAATGTCCCTCTGATAATCCTTGCCCAGTGTTGGATATCTTCTTCGTTTTCGAAGTTGTAGGGTGTGATGGAAGCGAGGAAGGTCTTGAGCGTAGCGGCGTCGATTTGCTTCCCTTGCGATTTCCAGACTATTTTTAGGTCGCTTATCGCTTATCGCCCCTTTGAGGCGGCGCGCTTGATTTTCCCTTCTCATGAGTAGCGCTGTCCCGCTCGCGGTATAAAAGCGCCCGCTCCCTCGAAATTTTTACCAGAAAGAGATCTGGGAGAAATTGATCAATTTCTTCCGATTTTGCTAGAATGTCCCTTGCCGAGCGGCAGAAGAAACTCAAGCCTGAGCTCAAGGAGCTCAAAAAAGCGATCGGGGTCTTCAAGGACTTCAAGAGAGACCACCCTTCCGACAACTACACAGCCGAGGAGCCGTGCTTCGAAGCCTTCGGTATCAACAAGGCCCGCGAGTTACAGTCGGTGCTCGATAATCGAGTCATTCCCATGGTCCGCCGGGTTCACGCGATCTTGCGCAAGCAATCTTGGGTAAGTAACCCCTTACTTTTGTCCCTTTTTTTATCTAGCACAATTTAAACTAAATTAATTTTAGCAGTGGGAAATGAAGCCTCTCATTCACCCCGAGAACGATCTCCGAAGCACTGCCTTCCAAGCCAAGCGGCTCCGCGGGGACGTCGTGAAGACCCTCAACCTCATCAAACGACAACGGTTTGCGCATCGATCGATGCCCAACCGGATCACGATGAAGCCCTTTGAACCACGCCCCAACGAGACACACTAAGCCGAGTGCAAGATACTCTGTACTTTCTGTTTCCTAATTAAAGCTTATTTCCGGTTCGTTCGAGCCTGAAAAATCAAGTGCGTTCCTCCAATAAAGGATGAAAATTTTACTTGCGACCCTTTCCTTCTAAAAAACCTTCCCAGCAGGCTTTCATCATTCGCAACGCAGCCGCTTTGAACTCATTGTTCCAAATGTTCATTCTAAATGAAGTTGATTAGCAAGATGAAAGTTTTAACTGGAAGTAATTTCAATTAGTCGCAGAAAGGAAGTTGAGGGGGAGGCTCGACCCGATCGGGCTGAGCCTCCCTTAATCGAAGCAATAATACAAAGTTATTTGTTCTGGTCAGCTACCGGGCGAAAGCCTTCTCTTCCCTTCTTGTTGCTTTTCCATGGCCGTTTCTGGTTCCCTTTGTTCTGATCAGAACGCTGGGAACTCTCTCCTTCCTTCTTGTGTTTCTTTCCGCCCCTTTTGAAGCTGCCAGACTTGCGTTTTTGCCCGCTGTTTCCGGAGAAGTTGTTCGCGTCCTTTCCAGCGCCAGAGCCTTGAGCAAGGATACTGTAGCGCTCTCTCTCCTAAAGGAATTGAAACTCGGCGATAGCCTGTATTCTACCTCATCATTTTTGAAGAATTTCTTCATCTTGTGGTATTTTGCAGCATTCTGCATTTCTCGCTGAGGTCGACTTCTGTCCTGGTTGACCTCCTGTTGCACGCATTCCTCTGGATCCAGAGAATTGCGCATGTCCTGGCTACCCTCATCTGATCCCTGCGTAATTCCGTCGATCGTTTTGACGAAATCATCGAGGAGTCGTTCGTCGCACAAGTCTTTGACGAGAGTGCACCATTCGAATCTGCTCATGAGCGGATTCTCTCGCATCTGACGGAGTATTCGCTGCATGGTGGGGAAGTCTTCATGATCTTGACCGGCCGCCTTGTCGTATCTGAAAGTCCACTCATTACAGAAATTTATCCCAGCTGGGCTTACCGGTGAACGATCTCATACGCTTCGGCGTACTGGAGAGTCCTCATCTTTTTGCGTCGGTGATCAGTCTGCGAAAGCAGATCCCGATCTCCCTGAGAGACTCTCCCTGTTCTTGTTCTAGTTTCCGGGAGCCTCGTCCGATTTGGTAGAAACGGCCGGCTTTTGCGTAACTGAAATTGAGCTTCAGTTCTTCCAGCGCGTACCTCTTCAACTCGGCCTCATTGTGGTCGATCATGCGGGCGACCTCGATCTTTTCTTGTCGGAGTTTTTGTCCTCCTGCTTCGTCGCTTCGTATTCTGCCAAAATGTTGGCTTCGCCCTCGTCCCAGATCAGCTGGTCGTCGTGATGGAGGTTTTCTCCTCGGCGAAGAGCGCCCTTGATGTCGTCCAGGCTTTTCCTCTTCGCGTGGAGCACCGCTAGCTTCTTCAGGTTTGCCTTCATCTCTTCGATGATTGTTTCCTGAAATATGTAGATTTCGGATTCGGGAATCATTACCTTTCTCTCGCGGTCGTCCTCGATTTCGCTGAGTAAGAAACAGTAGCGGTCATCCTTCTGCAGGTCCGCTTGGATTTTCTGATGGTCGCTTTCCGAGATTGGGGACTCCGTCAACTCTGCTTTAAGCGAGAGTCTGTTCGAGTCCTTCTTGTTTTCCCCTCTCAAGGGAGCGAAGCCGGTACTCATCCTAAAATAGATCTATCTTAGGATGCGATAACAAAATTGTGTATATTGAGAAGGGAAAAAGAGGAAAACGATTGACTACAGGTTCAGGAAATGTAACACTTCAGAGTCTTGTGTATCTGTTGAGGCCTTCATTGAAGTGTGCTGCTACGGTGCGGGAATCTTATTTAGGTAAAGAGGGTTGGTTTAATCGACTAGCGTGCCTACTCTACCCATCCCTTCCAGAAACAACTCAGGCCGGAATAAGCAAAGAAAGTTGGTGCCTCTGACATTGTAGACAATTTGGTCCACCAGCTTCCCTACATTGATCAAGACCTCGAAGGTGTTTTTCCCTGTTGTTTGCCAATCGTTCAGTCTTGCCAAAAGGTCGTGGAACCCAGCGCCGAACGACGCTGAGATCTCGATGGATTTTGAGAAGATTTTGGACAGAAGTTTCAGGCACACTTTCCAGTCGTCGGATCCGACGACCGATTGTGTGTCCTTCACCTTCATATTTGCCCAAATTCTTTCTTTTTCCTCGAAGAGATTGTTAGCTGCTGCTACTATCGCATTCTTTTTGTTCTCGAGGTTTGTGTTGGAGCGCCAGCGGCACGCTTCGATGAAGTTTTGTTTCCTGTCCATTCTGAACATAGATCTATGTTCTCAGGATGATGACCTATAAAAGAAAAGGAAACGTGAGACGGTTCTCTCCAAAATCCAAACTCTTCCGAGCGGACTTTCGCAGGAAACAGCACCGGATTATTCGTTTCTGGGTCCAGGATCCTGAAATAAGCATTATTTAAGACCTCGGGCCAGATTGGGGACGCTGTCTCGTGTTCTTCTAGACAGAAAATCCAAAAATTATTCTTCCCCCTCTCCTGGAGAAGCTGAAACGCGAAATCCTCCATAGGTTTTGGTGGGAAAACCCAGAGGACTTCGGATCCGAAATCCTCTTGGGTGAAGAAATCGACTCCCGCAGCTCCGGCTGTGTCCCTTAATGACCAGAACTTTTCGCACTTCGCATTCGCTGGGTTAGCAAAAGCGTCTAAAGTGCACTCTTTTCCCAGGGCCTTGTTTAGGTTGAGGAAAGCTTGATTTTTTATCACAGCTTCCTTCGTGTCAATCTTTCTCGAGGCTTCATCTGCCTCCTGTTCCGTTGTGGAGACCCACTCCATATCCATGGCAATATTATATTTATTTGCCTCCTCATGGATCATCCTGATCCATTTTGTTAATTCTGGGCTTTTCCTGCTCCCATGTAAGAAGCAGGTTTCGACTGCCTTGTTATCCTGTTTAAACAGGACTCTGGAGTTTTTGAGAAGATGGCCGTAATTTTTAACCACGTAGTGGACAGCGTAGGCTTCTTTAATCATGATAGGTTGTTGGGACAGAGGATCCTCTGGATCCCAATAAACCGTTTCCGTAATTCCTTTCCCCTTAAACTCGACCCCGGCCGCCCCACTGCTGGCGTCCGTGAAGATTTTGAATTCGACAGGCTTTAAGCCCTTCTTCAGCCATGATCTTTTTGTTGTGATGTATTTAGCCTGGACCCAGGTTAAAAGTTCATCTTTTAGATCATCTGAGACTGGAAGGGTGTGATTTTGGTCTTGGTTAGTGACTTTCAGCGCTTCTGTCACTCTGCGGATATAAAGTCGCATATTGTGCACCACCAAAGAGACAGCATTATTAAGGTAAAACGGCTCAATCAGGGGTTCGCTGATCAAAATGTAACTTTGAAAAAGTGTCCATTTTAAGTTCGGTTTTAATTTTATTTATTTTTCGGGCATTCGTACAATACCGTTGCGCTCTCACTTTTGCGGCGGTGAAAAATCTCGATCTGAAGCCCCATCAGATCGAGATTTAGCGCGAGGCGTGTATTTTCTGAGACGTACAACACCTACCACACTCCCCGCAGATCAGAGCTTTGCCGAGCGCGCACCAATCAGAGCGCGGCGTGAAATAAGCGCCCTCACTCGGAAATAAAATGAAGAATAAGGTTAATTAAAATAAACGGGTTTTTTGACGGGATTAATGAATTGAAAACTTATTTTTTCTTAATAAGGCGCTTATTTTATAATAATCTTTCAATTATATAATATCATCATAATAATATAGTTACATATAATATAGTTTAAATAAATTGATCGATTATTAAACTAAATTTTATTGGCTTTTCCACACTCAATCCCGGCTTCAACCACTTCAATATTTGCTTCAACAACTTCGATCCTAGCTTTACAGAAGTCAATCCTGGTCGTTCCAGCGTCAATCCCGGCTTCTTAAGATCCGATCCGGGCGTCACTTTCTTCAATTCTAGCTTCTCAGATGCCAGTCCCGGCTTTTCAGTTTTCTATTATTGCTTCTTGAATAATAACGTAATTTACCCCTGCGAAACCTGCTATATCAACACACTCGTGACCAAAACTGGCGTTACGAAACTGGTTTATTCTGTACAGCAGTTAACCAACTTCTCAGATAAAACGCGTGCGACCACAGTGACGACTCAGGCAATCACAGCGGCGGCTTGGACGACGTTGGAGAAGCTGGAGGAAGCTGCGGTCCCAAAACAGGATAAACCTAAAGACCTGTTAGCCTGAGCAATCTCTTACTTGCCCTTAACAGGACTTCCGTTTCTCTACCTCGAGTTTGGTACGCTCAGCGCGAATAACGCGAAAGCACTGAGTCGTACTCAACACGAGGTCCGCGTAGGTGTACTCTTCCTCGGGGCGAACCTTTTGGTAGCTCCGATATACACCAACCATTACGTCCCCCACATTTTATCGAAGTGTATACCTTTAGCGGCGCGGTCCTCCTCGGCCGCGTTTTCCGTATCCAGGTCGCGATGGGGCCGGTCGTTTGTACGCGTTCGGCGGGCGGAATCCTCCGCTTGTTTCGCCAAGGTCTCGGCCCTCCGTGATTACTCGCCAATTGTAGCACCAATTCGGTCTGCGAACGCGTTCCACCAGGTAGTTGTTTGTTTCCTGGTTCCATCTAACTCCCAACGCCCTCAGTTCGCCGTTATTTTGCACCGTTATTATCGGTGCCTCGCCTTGGTGGTCCAGCGCGAACACGTTGGTCAGTTTGGCCTTGTCCGACCAATTCTTCAGGTACGTAATGGTCTCTTCGACAGACCAGGATTTCATCCCTTCAATTTGACCCAGAAAGTTCAGAGCCCCTTCGCGCATTTTCACCGCTTCATGGTTGACTCGGGTCACCCATTCCGCGATTTCATCCTCATCCGTCGTTCCAGTTGGCGGGGGTTCGATCTTAAAATCCTGTCACGCGTGAATTACTGTTTCGGGGAGCCGGTCGATTGATTTTTATCATCTGACGCGGCCGGCTGATAGTGGCAACTGTTCACTTACCCATGACGGCGCGATGGCTCCCAAGAGCTGTCTTCCGCAGTATAAAGCTTGGTCCACAATGTCATCAGGACTAACTTCAGCCATTGTTTGAGAGATCAGCTTTTTTAAACCAGCCGTCCCTCCTTCAACGCGAGCTAGACGCATCTTGAAGCCACTGTTTCGGGGGCTGAACGGATCAGTTTCCACATAGAGGTGAGAGCAATACATGTTTACGCGGTTCGGCGCTTCTAGCCACGCGGTCAGGATGTCTCTTAATTTTGGTTTATTATTTTTCTAAATTATTTTTAGTTTTACCTAGACGCGCGCAATGTCAGCAGTCGAAATCCAACGGAGGACTGCTTATTCCATCTCTGAAATCCTCAAGTAAGTTATTTTTCTTCCTTGATTTTTACCTCTTCCTCGAGGAATAACGCGCTTTCTTCCGCGGATGCCACGTTTTTTACGGTCGCTTCCAAACTTGACAAGAACGCGGCAACTTCTCTATCAGTTTCGTTGATTTTAAATTCCTTGACGTTTTTTAACGCGTCAATGAATTTATTTAGCCGGACACCGATTCGCAGCGTTATTACCGCTTCACGGCTTGCATCTTCTATGTCAGCTTGAATGGCGGCCCGCGATTGGCTGGCTGACATCAACCGCGTTTCGTTCCCGAACATGTTTCGCGGCTGATTTTGATTTTTGTGCGCGTTAATGTCGAGAAAGCTCCCCGGCCTGTCCATATCCATGCGGGGTGAATCGCCCCCTGCCATTCTAGAGAAAAAAATTTTTTTTTTTTTGACAATTTCGTTTAAGTTCTATTCCAAATTTTCCAGATTTTTTAAAGTGACCAGTTCTTCTATTCGCGGTTCATTGTTCTGTTCCTTCTTCAGCTTCTAAAATTATGTTTTTAGAAATTTCGACACGTACGCCGATGCTACTATTGGCCGGAATGACGCGGTCCGCCAGTTGATTGCTCAGTCGAAAGCTACTCGAAATGGGCAACCGCGGGCTTATTCTAGTGCTCTTTCCAAGTTCGAATTTGACCATGGAGGGCGAGGCGCCAGAATTGTTTTCCGACGTGCCGGCATTCATGACCAAATTGTCGGCCGAAAAGCCCTCGATGAGATTTTGCTTGCCCGCGTTTCAGACGAACAAATTCAGCGCGGGAGCCTTCGGCTCCGTCTTCGATTCCGCGTCGGGGCCAACGATGTCATTGTCCCCGTTGATTTCCGATTGCCCAACAAAGGATCAAACAAACAAGATGTTCACGGCCTTGTTTTTGCCATGGACTCCGCGATGTATCAAGTTCGCGATCCTAAAGTCACCAACGACGCGAAAGTCAAATTTCGCCGCGCCTTCTTGGAGAGGGTTGCTCGCTGGGCGACCTTGACCGTGGTGGCTCTCACCAAATATTGGGTTCACGCTGGTCCCTGCTCTTTCGAATTAGCCGGAGTGCCCCGAGAGACCGCCGAGGCTCACCCAGATGAATCTACCGCCTATTCCTTTCGCGGGCGAAATCCCTGGCTTGTTTTCCTGATCTGGTGCCAGTACATGCATGGGGTGAGTTTCGAATTTATGGATTAAATAAGCATCCTTTTATAACTTAAAGCATCATTTTAATATTTGCTTTTTAGCGCGTCGTTTCTTGCAATCGAAATCCTGACTGGCCTATGAACCGCGTCCCCATTCAACTACTTTTCGACCGAGATCAACTGAATATCCCTGGGTCGCCCCAGGCGATAATTCTTACCGCGATTAAAGCCGTTCTTGGTGACCAAATCTTTGCCGGTGATGGGCTCCAGCGACGCGACCACGGGGAGTTTACGCGATTCCATCATGACAACTCTTATAGTGAGTTCCATTTTACAACCTGAATTATTATTTTAACTTATTATTTCAGAGCTCCTCTCACTTAATCTACGTAATCGCGCTCAACTCTTTCCTATCCCCTCCATCTTGTTTCTCAAGATGCTGGCTTGCTACTTCTACAACAACAACGTATCCCATTCATTTATTGGCGAGATAACTTACTTTTTCACCCGCGAGGCCGATTTCTTGCGCGTCTTTCGGCGTTGATTTCGACTTCTTGTCCACTTTTCGCGGCTCAACTTCTGTTTTTAGGACGAGCAGTATACTTACTACGTCGCCGGGGCCTTTTACCTTATTGGCGTTTACGGTAGCCCTGAATTCGCGCTCTACCATGGCATTTGGAGGCTCCTGCTCCAGTTCATCCATGACGCAGGCATCTACAAGCCGCTTGTCACTCGCGTTCGTCGCGGAAACGAGGAAGTGAAGTACTTTCCCCGCGATACTTTTTCAAAAGCCGGTATGAACTTTGAGTTTGTAACCATTTTCTAAATTACACCTCTAGGCCCGGCTCGTCTCTTCCCTCTTGGCACGATCGAGCCTTTCTTGGGCACGCGTCATCTCTCCTCCCTGTTAGCCCCTGGGGCCTCCATGGATCGATGTCCCTTTTACTCGCTCGATCAGGATGTACCGCCACTGGAGCGTCGAGCGCAACACGGTCTACGATGGCCTGGCAACCGCGATATTGAGCGACAACAGCAACGCTACCGCGCTATCCCAAGCTTGCTTGGTGGTTTTGGCCGATACCGTGCTATTGCTTAAGTCCGCAGCTCGTCCTTTCCTGTCTTAGCGCCGAAGTGTTTCTTTGCCCATTCCGCTGCTCTTAACTGTCCCCACGGTATTCGCGATCGTTTCGTTGGACGCGCGAAAGTGTACTCGCCGTCTTCATCTTTTAAAACGATATTATTTACTGTTCACTGTCGACAGTATCTTATAAATTTGCTATTTTCCTTGTAATCAAGAAATAAAAGTGAGGGACTATTACCGTTTCGGCTTCTCTTGCGAACGCGTTCCTTTTCATTTCCGCGGTTCTTCGGGCTTGGTTCTTCCTTTTTTCGCGTATTGCGGCGGTCAGTGTTCATTAGACAGCGGAAACGAGTCTGAATAGCGATAATTTTAATAAATTTTTGGTAATTCGCCGCTTTTGGCGGGGCTTAAAATAAATCTTGAACTCGGCAGACTGTAACGATCGCGGAGGCTCAACTTTAGGTGACTCGCCGCATTTCTGGCGCTGATTACTTTTCGTAGATGTTCATTTTTCCTAAATTGTTGTTTCTTTAGACGTCTGGCTGCCGTTTCATACCTTCAATCGCGTCAGTTCCCCGATTCTGGTTTCCCGCGTTACCTTCCTCGTTTTCGCGTCCGGTCAAATCCTGGTAAGAAATTTTTCTGGCCGGTTCAGTCAGTCCTCGCGTCCTGTAGATCATATGGCCATACTGAGAATGGCCAATCGCGAAAGTTGGCATCAGCGATCGCTGCAAGTAAAAGTTGTAGCCGCAGATTCCAACTCCCGATTGACGAGTGATCTCCAACAGGCGATTGTTCGTGACCGCGACCAGATCATGGTACGCGGCTCTGCTTTTTTCCTGGATCGCCAGAACTTTGAAACTCATTACTATCATTCTTACCGCGTCCACTTACCTTGGGTTAGATCGTCTACCCCTTTTCTGATTCTGGCGATGATGACCTCAGACGCTGAGGCGTGTCCCGCGTTCACGATCTTCGTATTCGTACTGTTGAAGGTCGCGTTACAGCCCGGACACGGTTCCCTTTCGGGACAGCATCCTCGACAAAAGAAGCTACCACACTCGTGGATTCGTGGCTTTCCCGCGAAATCGAGCTCGTGAGTGCACTTGAAGCATTTGCCCAAGACCGACGGCGGGAGGTTTTCCCAGATTTTAAGTTCGTTCAACGCGGTTAAACCGTTTTGCATTCTAAATGGGGGGAGGATGATCTTGTGGCCAAGTTTACGCGGTTAAATTGGTTGGAAATAGTTAGTTTTCAACTAGGCCTTCTTCGTTTACTCTATTTCTCTTCAAATAAACTTTCCCGTGACCGACCGTTCTGCGTGCTCATTTTCCGCGAATCACAGCCAATTTCTGTTTTTTATATTTGTTTTAGCTGCTCTCCTGCCTTCCAATTGGACTCGACAACTCACCGCTCTTTTCGAGCGGATCTAAACCGACTGAGAGACGCGATTAACAATCCCGCGATTATGCCAACTAACAAACGGACGGTGTCTGAGGCTGGACTTGATGCTACCACTTGTACTGTCGCCCAGTCTCCGACTCGAAAACATCCAGCAATTTCTCGCGTCGAATATGTGGATCTGTTGACCCAAGGTGAGCCTTGTGGTGCGCTTTTCATACTATTAAATTCATTTAAAGGGCCGAGAGTTAAAATTGAACCTCTCGACTACGAGGACTCTCTCGCGATGGAGTTCGATGTGCCCCGCAAGCTTCCGCGTCCGAAAATTGGGTCAGGCTCTTTGTATGATGCATCGCCTCATACATCTACTCCTGTCGAAACTGGGGCACCATACATTTCACGCTCAACCACCGGGAACGCTTCTGAGGAGATCGAATTCAAAACTCCTGACGCGACCGCTTTTGACGAAGCACCGAACCGTGTGTCCAAACGTACACGACGCGAAATCACCACCATAGTCGAGAACATGGAAAAGATTTTCCACCAGAGCCGCGAGTCTCGCGCCTCTGCTCAGGGCTTGTCTCGTCGCGTCTTGTATCGAAGTCCATCCCGGCCTTCAGAGTATGTGGAGTCCATTTGGCTGAAATGACCCTTCTTTAGGTATATTTACGCGACCATCCCTTCGGAGCTATTTCCTGAGTTTGAGGTAGATCTCCTTGAGCGATTTTCATCCAAGGAGTTGCACATTTCGCGCGAGTTGGTCCGGATCAGGGCCGATCTTTATTATTCGTCTGATCCGCTCAAACATCCTTTCCCGCACATTCGAAACTTACTCGTCCACATCGGTGATTTTTCAGTACCTTATTTTATAAACCGCCCCATTTTAGGCTACGCGCTTGATGTTTCAAAGACGCCGGTGAAAATGCATATCAATCTTACATTCCCGCCTTCTGTCGGACCTACTTCTGGCAGCCCATCTTTCAACTTTCGTAATAGTATTCGCGAGCTGCTTTCCGCGTACTTGGTGCAGCTGTCTGAATATTACCGCGGCGCCGCCTGTTTGCCAGCTCGCGTTGATGCGCATCGGCATCAGCTGGACTCTCTGGCGCAAAACGTTCTCGACTATTTATTCGCCGAGGACGTTGGGAAATCATTCAGAATCCCAGTTTCAATTCGAACTGATCTACTCACCACTTCCCATGATGAATAACTTTCTCCGCGAGAACTGCTCCCGAATACTACTTCTACTCCTATTCACCGTTTTCAACCTCACCTGCACTGCTATTTTCATCCAGTACGCGATCCACCAGTATGCTACCGAGCTCGACGCCATGCAGTTTGATATTTCGTCTTTCCGCCGCGTCCTCGGGCTCGATAGCTACGTTCCCCAGATTATTTCTGGTGTTGATCCTGTAAGTTTTCCAATTTAACTCTCATTTTAGTCATCTTTATAATTATTTCTTTGGCTTAACTAACGCGAATTTCAGGTTCCCCGACGCGTCTTCCAACGGAACTACCACCACTCTGGAACTGCCCGATCGCGACACGGTCGATCCGCGTATTCGCCGAACTACTACGTGCCCATGCCCGCCTATGGAGCTCCCGAGGCTCCCCTTACTCTTGGCGGTGCTTCACCTTACAGATGGTACATTTATATTTTCTCCGATCATTTTCTTATTTTACGCATTTAGGGCACTCTTCGCGCTTTTCCTCATCATTCTCGTCCCTACTCTCATCTGCTGCTGCGGCCGCCCTGTAATCAGCGTCCTCAAGCACGTCAACCGTACTTTCGCCAACCTTGACTTCAACTTCGGCGAGTCTGCCGACTCCTACGAAGATGGGCCCGAGTACGAGCAGGTCAGAGCGCTTCAGCGACAAAACGATGCCAATCGAAAGATGATTCGTGCTCGAAAACAACAGGATCAGCTCAACCGCGAACTCTCTCGACTGCCTCCTACCGCGGTTGTACCTTCTACCGTCGCTACTCCTCCACCGCGCTATTCCCGTGTTGACGAAGCCGTCCGAGGCGTTGACGCCGCCGCTGCCACGTCCAGATCTGCGTCTCCAGTACACGTGGCACCTCTGAGCCGCAGCTCAGCTCGATCCTCGCGCACTACTTCTAGAGCCGCGTCCTTCCGCCCCGCGACTCGGACTTCGTCCATTGTTTCCATCGTCGAGCTTCCTGATGACTACGTCGAGCCTATCGCCGATGACAATTCTGTTTATGTTCCCCCTGCTGGTAGCTCCTCCGACGCTTGGGTTTAAATTCCTTTTAAAATCACTGTCTTCACTACCTTTCCTTTCTTTTCCTTTTATTCGGTAAATTCTCGCCTTATTGATAGAATAAAAATTATCAAAAAAACAAACTTATAAACGCGTTTATTTTATTGCCCTGCGCTTCTACATCAGCAGGAGTTTTTTAAGTTCTTCAGGCTCTTTTCTCCAGGCGACTCTTTCACTTACCAGAGATCGCGACTGCATGAATTCTGGCATCGCCAGCTCTGCGTTTTGTGCTAACATCATTATCCCGGCGTTTTCCTCGTCCGTCACGCAGTTACCGTCGACAATAGCTCTAATCGCGTTCAAAGACCATGTGTAAACTGCCTGCCGTTTCAGCCCGACTTTGACCGCGAAGCGAACTCCCTCAAACCAATCTATTCCTTCTGGGTTTTCCTCTGTCGCTACAATTTTGAAATAGGGGTTAAGGTCGTTTTTCTTCCATTCTCCCTCGATTAAAATGTAATCCCCCACTTTGATTGGTTTTTCGAGCTCAGATTCATACGTATCGCCTTCCTCATAAGGTCTGAAAATAATCGGTTTGCGCGTTCTACCTTTTGCCTGATTACGCATCGCCGCCTTTCTCCCTTGTTCGCGGCATTTTTTAATGTAATTCAAAAGTTTTTTCAGATCAACTTTAACAGGCTGGTCGGTTTTATCCCTGCCGTAATAGATTTCGGTCGGAGTGTATCCGTGCCGGCTTGGCGTGTTATTAATTCTCATCGCGGTATCTAGAGCGATTCTTTCGGCAGGACCGCGCTTGCTTATTTCCGCGACAAGTATCTTATCAGCTTCTGAATTCTTGAGTCTCCTGGGGAGAGGTAATTCTTGCTCGCGCTTCTTTTGATAAGTAACACAATTTCTACATTCCATCGTTGCCAACATTCATCAGCAGCGATTTTCTTGTTCACGCTGCATCCATCTACGAAGATTTTTACCTTCTTTTCCTTCAATGGTCCCCGAACAAAATCAGCAAGGGCTTTCATGAAGACCTCAGTCTCATGATCCGCGTCGTTGTTGGCCTTCTTGATCGGGTAAAGCCGCGTGAATCCTGAGATTGCCTCCGCGAAAACATAAAATTTGATTGTGGTCTCATCTGCGCCTGGGTAAGAGTTTCTAGTGATTAGATCCGCGAACAAAACCTGTCCTAATTCCTTAGGCTCGTAATCATCAAACTCCTTCGGGATAACCTCAATCTTCGTTTGTTTGCGAAAGTAAGTGCACCCAGTGCATGATCTGTGCACTTTTTCCACCACTTTATTCATCCCAGATGCCCACCAATCAAATCTCACGTGTTTCTTTAGCGCTGTTAACGATGTGCATCCGATGGCGCTTTTCAGCTTTCGGACAATCACCTCCAGGAACGCGACCGGAACAACGATTGGTCTGACCATTTTTTCCTCGACAAAAAGCGCGTTCTTCCGCAACACCGCGATCCCGTCTACTACCTCGGACTCTGTCGACTTCCGCAAGCTCTCAGCGACCCTGTCGCTGTAAGGTAACTTGCCATTCTTCCGTTTTGATTCTACTGCTTTCTGTATCGACTTATCCGTGAGTTGGATATCCCTAATAAGATCCCGGTTTCTTAGAAGGTCACTGTATGTTCCTTTCGCGACACAAGCTTTTAGTCTCTCCATCACCGGTCTCGCGTCTCTTATCCATTTGCTTTCAGCTCCTGTATCCGACGCGCTAGTCTCCCGGTTTAGGCCCTTCGCACGGGCTCGCGTACACATCTGATGAACTTCATGGTCGATCTCGTCGCCGCGCAACTCCGTCATCCTCTTCGACTCCTGAAGCTCGCAAAGGATCGCGTCCCTTTGTGTAGAAGGTAAGCCGAAGATTCTCTCAAACCTCGCGAGAGTCACTGTAGGCTCATAGCTCTTTTCCTTTATCGCCGTAACCTTATCACCCGCTCCTTTGCTCAGCTTACCTTCTCTCTCGATGCTCATGCAAACGCGGCAATTCTCATCACAGGGTTTTAGCCAATTGTCCGATCGGCTAATCATGTCTACTAGATCGACCTCGATTGATCTGCAGCTTCTATAAATTATTTTGATATCATAAGACATCAGTTTCATAAGTCTTTCGTTAATTTTATTATCCGCGGCTAGCTCTTGACCATTCAAACACCTCTTGTATAGTTTTTCTACACTCAACGAGTCCGTTATGATTGTGACAGGATCTCTCACCAAGTCAATCTCCCAGCTAAAATGTATAACCGCGCTTAAAATTCCGTGCAGTTCAATCATACACGAGCTCCATTGCGTGACATTTCCTGTATCTGGTCTTTTTCGCGAGAACAATTTATTTATCCTAACTTTCCGTTTACCTTCTATCGTTTCAACCTGGTACAAAAAGGCTCCAGTTCCCTTGTTGCTGCTGTCACAACAAATAAATGTTTCTAGCTCCGGAATTATCGGGTATAAATTTACCAAACAGCCCGCGACCTCCTTCTGGACTTCTTTGTACGTGCTTATCAGTTTTTCAGTCCATTCTATTCGCGTACTTAGGCTTTTCCCTCCCCCACTTGCTTCATACAGGTCTGATAAAAGCTCAGTCCTAAACGGGAGAGAGTCCCCAATATAAGTTATCCATCCCAGAACTCGCTTCAAACACTTTACTGTCTTTACCTCCTCGTGATTTTGCAACGCTATTTTATCCAAGATGTGATTGCTCGCCATTATCACTCCGTTCTTCACGCGTCTTCCGAGGATTGACAAATCCTTGCTGAGGAATTCACACTTCTTTCCCTTCAATCGCAAGTTAAAAGTAGATAGCGTGTTCAGTACTGCCGCGACGTTTTCTAGAAAACTTTCAGGGGACGACCCTGTTATGCAGATGTCATCAACGTAAATGAAGCAGTACTCGCGGTGACTGTATAAAATCCTTTTTAGCTTCTCTCTCGCGATCAAAGGGCTCAAAATCCATCCCATTGGCAATCTTTTGTAGCACATCGGACCCTGGTCTGGGTGGTCAATACAGAAGTATTTCCACATTGACGGATGAAGGGGGAAGCAGAAAAACATGCTACTGATGTCGATTGTCGCTATTAATCCAGTTTCTGTGAACCGCGCGACATTCTGCAGGACCTGTCTTATCGAGTCTGTTGGCCGCGCCGAGTGTGACGTGTCATCGTTTATCATGGCTCTTTTACAGTCCGCCACTATTCTGATTGAGCCTGCGCTTAGCTCAACTTTCGCGGTGTCTGTATTTTTCTTCCCCACAGGAAAGAATGTTAGAAAATGTGAGGGCGTCATGCACTTCCGATTATTCCCTCACTAGCTTCCGCGTCCAACTTCTCTCGCAAGGCCTTAACCACCGATTCCGACATCGATTTTCCGTATGATTGTTTAACCACCTTTCCTGAAGTATTTCCTGTAATTTCCGCGTAAACCTCAAACTCTTCTCCTGGAACTAAACCTTGTGTTCCCTCGAACAGAATTTTATTATTTTCTATTATCTTCCATAAACGCGCTGAAAAGTCCACCCCATTTTCGATTCCTGGAAGCACATCCTACATCCTATCTACCGTGCATTCTTTCCACGTGTTAATTTCGCGAGCTTTCTGGTGAAGCCTTTCCAAATGACGCGCGTATTCTACTCGTGAATCAGGGTTGAATCTGGAAGTGGCTCGCATATCGACTACTTCGCTGTTGATCCTCGGGACAATCGTGTCGACCCGCGGTGCTGGAGTTAACCTGTCATTCTTTACCTCTTCATACATATTGAAACTGTGGATTACATTATTGAACGACTGAATTTCCGCGTGACTCTCCGCGTCGCGGTTGGCTATCTCGAATCCTCTTATAGATACTCTCACGCGAAAACCTTTTCCTCGTGACTCGCACCAAATTTTTGCCGAGTAACGCGCTAAATCCGACAGCGAGAGCAGCACCGTGTTGTCGCTGCTCCTGCTGACTCTTGCTTCCGAAAACTCAATTTTTACGTTCTTATTCAGGCGCAACGCGAACGAAACTGTCAGTGGGAGGAATTCCAGCTTACCTCCGCCTGCTGTCCTGCCGATTCCGCTTTTTGCTGGTTTAACGCGCACTATTGGTAAGTTCTTTATCAACGAATAGAGAGGAAAAGGTAACAAACTTACTGAACATCCTGTGTCCAGTAGAAGCTTAAAATAAGTATAGTTCTTTTTATTTCTTTCGCGTTCTAAATCAGGTAGGCAGAACCAAATATCTTACAATTTGTTTTCACATTCTTCTACTGTCTTCGTTCCTTCTTCTATTGACGCTCTTAACCATGGGTTATTTCTTCCTGTCCAAAGCTTCGCAAATATCTCACCTCCCATGTCGAACGCCGCGTATCCATCAGTCTCTTCTTTGTTCAAATCCATCGCGAAATTATTGAAGTTGTCTGTGTCGCTGTCAGAGCTCCACTCGCACTCCTCGCAGAGTGCTTGAAGCTCCTCCAGGTCGACCTCTCCGTCCAACGCGTAAAATTTTCGCCGCTCACCCTGAGGTTTAACACCTTTTTTCTTTATGAAACGGCTAAATTTCCTGGGAATATCTACTCGTTTTACCTGACCATTTTTGCTTTATAAAATCTTGTCCGGGTCCTCTTTCTTTAAGGACTCTATTTCGCGTCTGGACAGGTATTGACCGGTGTACTGGAACACTCTGCCGGTAGATATTTCCACCTTGAGATCGCGGCTATTAGTTACCTGTGCAAGTGAAATGTTTCGCGAATTTGAACGTGGAAATTGCCCGCGATTATCGCTTTGCCATTTCCGTACATTATCCCGCGAATTTGGTGGCTTGTTCCCCTTGAAAAACGCGTTGAGGTCGTCCTCATAATCATCAACCGCTGGTGTACCAACGTCCTTGCCTTCTTCGGGGTCGAAAACGTTGAAAGAGTTTTTCTTGTCCTTGCTGGCGTATTTCTGATCATTTACAATCTTCACCAGCGAGGACCGGAAATCTCCTCCATCATCAATTTCTAACGCGACTTCTATCTGACTCAGTTCAACATGAGAT